CTCAGACGGGGCTTTCAATCGCACTACCGGCACGTGTAGTGCAGGTGGATTGCTTCGGAATGAGTTTGGTCAGTGGATTGAGGGGTTTGTTATGAACGTGGGTTTTGGCACTATCACCGGGGCCGAACTATGGGGTTTGTTTCAGAGACTACAAACTGCATGGGAATTGGGATTCAGACAGGTAATAGCTGAAACTGATAGCAAGTGTGTGATGCAGATGGTACTTGGTCCCAAAGAGCACTTTGGTGTCCACGAATCTCTTGTCCGATCCATTAGGAGCTTAGTGGAAAAAGACTGGAATGTCCGGATCCAACACATACATAGGGAAGCCAACTTTGCGACTGACCACATGGCGACCTTAGCAGCCTCTTCCCCGTTAGGACTTCAGAGGATCTCATCACCGCCACAGGGGTTGAATGATTGGCTGGATCATGATTTCCGTGGCGTGGCTCACCCACGACGAGTTCTAGCATCGTAGACTTAGGCCTGTTGGCCTCCATCTTTGTACCAGAAAAAAAAAAAAGAAACAAGTGAGCTCATCTCGCTCGAACTCAGCACGACTCGTTTAATAAATTAAAACTCGAATGTTAAAGAATCGAGGCAAGAAGGAATTATTGTATAATTTTTATAATTCGTTTTGTTGAGACTCTAGTTTGACTAGCTAAAACTCAAATTCGACTCGTTTATTAATATTAAAGAGTATAGTTGATTATTGGATCATTTGACTAACAAATCGAGTTTGGTTCGATAAAGACTTGAGCTCGAGTACATGACTTCGAACTTGACTCAATCGTTTATATCCGTAGACCACTAACTGTTACACAAATATATATTTTTTTCAATCAATATGTATAGTTTCAAAATGAAATATCATACTTTAACAAAAATCTATCTATTAATATATAAAGAGGCAATGATATTTACTTGAAATAGCAACTAAAAATCAACAAAAAAAAATATTTAATTTTCCACCTAAAGTATTTACTATATTGAGTAATATTTTTGACCAAAATTTAAAAAATCCCGCCTAAAAATTGATGTAATTAATATACAAAATCATTTTGGTCAAATATTGAAGCTATTACATTTATTAGTTGCATGATTTATGTTTGGAATATAATATATTGATAAAACTTCCAGCTATTATCTTTATTAGTTGCATGGTTTAAATTTGGTATATAATATATTGAAAAAATAATAATAAGATTCTTATTTTAAAAAAAAAAATAAAAATAAAAATAAAGGGTCAATATTATCTTGGACGTAAAAGAAATAATCATTTATTTATAGTTTAACAAATCATTCAATAACTCATGGGCCAATATTAACTTGGACGTAAACGAAATAGTCAATTATTTATAGTTTAATAAATTATTCAACTACTTAATCTTTTTATTTAAATAGTTGATACAAAAATAAATTATTTTAAGTAATGAAACAATATAAATTTTATATATGTACTTAATATTCACATAGGTTGTTAAATATATGATAACATTTTACCAAAATAACTATTTCATGGAATCACATTATAGTCAAATCAAATTTCTGAATAAAAATTTTGGAATGATACTTATTTTGAAACAAATATAATGTAATTTATTATTAGTTATGTGCACCACACGAGTTGTGTACTAATTTTGAATAGACATTTTTATGTAATTTTGTACAATTTAAACTTTATATAACACTAGTATAACACTCGTGTATTACACATGTGCTTGATAATTTTTTTCTTAAAGTCTAAAATTAATGAGAAAAAATAATTGCAAATTTAAATACCTTTTACAAATATATATAATATATTATATATTTAGTATAACACTTTTTATTTGTGCGACTTACCTGTGTTATATTATAATAATTTTTAACTTATAACATATAACTACATTAAAAATAAATATACCAATTGATAAATAATTTTATTTTTCTAATGAATTTTAATAATATTATTAGTTTTATTATTATAAAGATAAATATAATTTATTTATTTCATATATACAATATGATTGTCCAATCGAAGATCATCAAAAGATGATTAATTTGATATATAATATATGTAAAACTGATAAGAAATACAAAAGTTATCAACTTTTAAAATACATTTACAATTCAATAGTTACTTGAAGGAAACAAATCAAAGTCAGCGATATATTGGTCACTTAGTATCTCACTGTGTAAAATTACAAATAATTAAAGGGTTATATTAGTACAAATGATATTAAAATAACTAAGTTAGATAAATAATATTTATGGAATGTCCGAACATAGATTATTAATTATTCATATATCAATATTATTTGTCCAAACCTAATTACTAAGCATGATTCCAGAGGCGGACCTACATAGGGGCCCCGAGGGGCACGGGCCCCTATAGAATTTTTTAGTAATATAATGTGTATATATATATATGTCATATGTATAAATGTATTATTATAGACATTCAAAAATACATGTTATTAATTATTTTACAAAGTTATTTCAATATAAAAAGATAAAAATGAAATGTTTAGAATTATTTAACCTTCAATAGTATGTTATTTTTTAAGTTGTGGAATTATCACTACATAAATAATCATTTTTAGTGGCGGTAATGTTTGTCGCTATATGTTTATGTTATACTCAATTTCTTGTTTATTTCATTTTTCCTCAAAAAATACATAAAAAAACAAATATTATACATAAATGTATATACTATATAGAGATTGGATCAAATGTGTCTCTATTCTTAAAATAAGAATGTGAGACTCAACCTTAGCTATCAAATAAGAAACAAGATGTTTGGTCAAGATTTAATATTCTTAGCTTTGTAATTGGTTAAATATTGATTTGACTGTTGACCTTCGGCGTTGCCCGTTGACCGTAATATGTGCCCCCGTTGCCCTAAAAGTCTGTGTCTGCCCCTGCATGATTCTTCGCCAAATAGGATTCTGAAGCACAAAAAGCAGTCACGTAGACTCAACACATTCGGGAATTATATACAGAGAGGATATTCAATAAATTAGTATGGGTAATTGCATTACATATTAATTCGATATTTTTAATTTATAAATATTACTTACTAATAATTTTTAATTTAAAAATCTTAATAAATATCTCTTGCCTTGTACGCTGTACGGCATTTATACTAGTATCAACAAAAAGCACGAGATTTTATATGCCTCATTTGTGTGTATATAACTATATAGTTAGTATACACTTATGTATAGTTAGCACACACTTATGTCTCCAGTTGGGTGTGTGCAATGTGGCCAATTTTCAACTGATATCGCGTTCTTGGAGCACGTTCGGTGCAATATAAGTACTGCGCACAATGCACGATTTACCATGCAACGAGCCCATCACCTCATGCTCAGAAAAAAAGCGGGTTAAAACTGATGTATAAGAAAAATAACATGCGTTGTCTGTTTTTATTATTTCTTAGCAATGATATGTAATTTTTGAGTTTATAATTTATAGCTTATGATTTATAGCTAAAAAGCTAGTTTATATGATAAAAGTGTTTGGTAATTAGCTGATAAGTTAGCTGAAATATAAAAATTCAACTAATTTATTTGAAAAGCTACCTAAAGTAGCTTATGAGATAAGCTCGAGCTTTTTAAAAAAGCTCGTCCCACCAAACAAGACTTATTTAATATAGGAAGCTTATAAGTTAACTAAATAAGCTATAAGCTAGTTTGTTTGGCTTACCAAACATACAAGTACAACAACTACTTTCTTAATTGCAAGTCCAATGCTAACCTTTTTTGTCAATCATTTATCTCACATTTAAGATTTTAGGTTTTGCATTTATAATATATACTTTGTATTAGTTTATGTGTTATATATATTATTATTATTATTATTTTATAGAATAAATAAATGAACGAACTTAATTAATTTTCCCAAACCAATTGGATTGACCTTTAATTGGGCTTTAGATAATAAGCTCATCTGATTAAGAGTCGACAGTACATTGGGCTATTTTTTATCAGCCATGTTGTTGTTGCCCATTCAGGAGAAAACAAAAGGCTTTGGGCCTGCGATTTATACTTTGGCCCAATCCAGTGCAGGTCAGGTACTTCTTTGTACAGTAGGTGATAATCATTTGGATGATTCGGAGTGTGTTTGCTAAGCACTATAAATAAACTAGCTTATACTACTTAGTTTATAAGTTTTTTCTATACAAATAAGCTTAGAATGGTAGGACGAGTTTACCTCACAAGTTTCATGAGGTAGTTTTTGAAATAAGTCTGTTGAAATTTTTATTTCAGTTGGTTTATACATTCATTTTTACTGAACACTTTTATCACATGAGCTAATTTTCAGTCATAAGACGTAAGCTATCAACTATAAGCTCACAATATATTTATAATTTATTAGCTATCAACTAACTTATTAGTTAGTTTTACCAAACATCGTCTAGTTTGCTCATTTGCCTACACATGGAATGTTTTTCAGAAATTATTTTACTAACCAATTTCTTAAACTGTGTTTGGTAAGCAGTATAAGTTAACTCATAAGGTATTTGGTTTGCTTATAAGCTCTACGTATACAAATAAGTTTTGTTTCGTATGACAAACTTAAAAAAAAAAAAAA